TTTGAAGAAAAGGATGAAGTGGTGAGGCAAAAAATTACAACTTTATGAAGAAAGGGGATCCCACAAGGTTGGTCTTTTTCAGGGTCGTCTTGCTCTTTGATGGCTGCTTGTGGGACAAAGCAGCACCGACCCCCTAGCATCCCTCCCCTAATGTCTAAAGTTCCAATCTCCTCAACTTGCCCTTTCTTTTTCATTAAAAAGAAAGAAATTGGTCCTTTTCTTGACTAATTTCATTCCCTCCAAAGAAATTCTACCATATTCTCATTCACATTTTGTCAATCTTCCCGAAGCTAGCACCTAGAACCTACCGGTCCAACTCGTGATTATCGCTCCCTTTTTTTCCTCATGCGAGGAGATGGGTATTTTGACGCTGAGCGATTTTATTTAGATGGAAATCAGAGAGTTTCGTGAAAGTGATGATCCAAAGCACAATTTAAGTTAGTGATAAAAGTCCGACCAAAGAAAAAAAGTCGGTGATAAAAGCGATGATTGGAAACACAATTCATGTGGGTGGTTAATTTTATGCTTGCTGTCCAATTCATGTATGATCAAGATTTCTACTTGGCTAAACATCATTGACTAAATGCAAACAGTACAAAGCGGACTTCTTTTTCTTCTTAGCCGCTCTCCTTATCTGTCATTATTTTTCTGCAATTTTTTTGTCTTTTTTTTTTCCTGTCTATTTCGCATAATAGGCGGGAAATTCACTATCGAGAAAGAGACCATGAAGACGGCCACTCTGTCCAGCCCCCTGTGGAGGGAGGGCTCCATCATTTCCGGATTCAAAAGACAATTGTTAGAGCAGAGGACTGGTAGACTGGTAGTTGCCCCTCCTGCTTCCACGTGGCGTCCAGCCAGCGAGTCCAGGTGGCATGGCCAAATTGGTGCGCCATAATCTCATTCGGTGCGAAAGAGATGTTACAAAAGACGAGACAAAAATCATAGGGTAAATATATAATGTGCTGCTAAAACCCCGTGAACTACGTATGAAGCTTCTCTATATATCTTAAAGAGAACGTCCAAGAACGACAAAACATACGGATTTTTCGTGGATTTAATAGGATTATTTGGAGGTACTATGGTCGGCCGGTTCAAATCAAACGATAAAGGTATTCGATAGTTCCGACTATTAAGGTTTTGTTGAGTTAGGTTTATGTCACCTCATGGAGAGGATTCTCGCTTCCTTTGTGTCCTTCCCCCCTTCTTTCTTTAATCATTTTTCAATGCTTCCACTTTTCTCTCTTCTTCGTCTGTCATCGTGTAGGGCAGACTTGAAGTCTAATATCAATGGACAATAAAGTCAATGACTCCCCATTTTTCTTGCACCAGAATGAAGTCCTAACGTAAGACGTGCGGCTTCTGCTCTTGTGTAATGAAAGACCATACAGCATTCGAGGCCTGTTTATATGTACGTGTATCCACTGGTTCTGGCATGGAATAAGGTCTTCCTCTCCCGAAATTAAAACAAGAAACGATAATTTAAAACTTTGGAAAATCAGGAGAAAATTGTATACGATTCTACGTATGTTGATTTAATATATGAATACTTTGGAAGGGCTGAGCATTTGGAAATTAACGAAAGTCAAAATGAATCCCCCAAAAATAATGAAAAAAGTCAAAACTACAAAGTAGAAATCTCTCCACTTACCTAAATTCTTGAAAACTTGAATTTGGATACTGTTCTCACAAACATGATGAAGCATATTCATTAGGGCTTCTGGCCGTTTAGCCAAAAATGCTGACTAGTGACCGCTGAAACCTAATCGCTAGGACGTACGGCTTTGGAACTGGTTTGTATCGCATCTTTCTTTGACATTTAATAATGTAACGTTCAATCCTTTCCCGTTTCATTTTTAACATGTTTTAAGTTGTTTTTCAACTTTCCTCTTCTTTGCTTTGCGACAAAGCTTTTATGCACCTCGTACAAACTTTGTTTAATGTTCATTTTTTCTCCTGTTCTCATGTAGCAATGCCGCCTCATACTTTCTCCATAATAACGCTATAAACATTTGCCCTAAGCGACAAAAGTAAAATGTTTACTCCATTAAGGAAATAATTTGAATAGTTATAATCGAATCGATGTTGTAAAAACTTGAATTGATAACAAGCGTGATTGAATATTTAATGTTATGATACTCAAGAAATATGGCCATGAGTTCGTATTCGAGTTCAGGTAGTAGTGATATCCTTGGGATCACTTAGAGCCCCCTCTACCTTAGCATTCATCCGGTCGTGGGGCGATTTGAAATTGTCATAATATGATGAGATTAGCCTCATTTCTTGAGGGTTAGGCATCTAACAATATTTAAATTATATGACGACATATTATAGAAAAAATTAGCGTTAAGCATACTAAGTTTGTTCATGATCAAAACCATCCAAAGGTTACAAACATGAAACATCATTAGATGGTTGTGATCTGATTGAATATGGTTCCATTAGTTAAATTCACATGCACTTTGTCGAGGTGGTTGTTGATATCTGTCTCGTAAGAGAGATATGAAAGAGAAAATGCACCATCAAGCTCAAAGGGACAAGATGTAGAGATTTTAGACAAAACTTTATCAAATTAGAGTATATTCTCACCCCGTCGGTCTTTTATTGACTATTTATTACATGTGACAATAGTTTCTATTTGATTTAGGATCATTTAGATTAATCAAAGAGATGCTATGTTTACTAACACTTCGTTTGTTACGCGAAAAATGAATGATTTGAAAAACGTTTTTCTAAAAATGATCACTTGTATCTCTTAAAAAAATGAATGAACGAAAAATATTTTTATTATTCATGAAAATGTTTAAACATAAATTGTTGTCGATAATAAAATTATTTTTCATTGATTAATTATTTCAAGCGATACAAGTTATCATTTTTATGAAAATATTTTCCAAATTATTTATTTTCCCGGAAAACAAATGGAGCCTAAGATTCTCAAAGGGAAAATGACCAAAAAAGTCACAAAAACCTATTGCATTTGTACCAATTCAGTCATAAACTTTTTAATTTGGCCAATTGAGTCCTAAATCTTTTGATAATTTGCCAATGTTATCCGTTCGGCCAATTTCGGCTAGAAAATCGCTGATGTGGATGTTGGCCGTCCTACACGACATTGTCCGTGCTGAGTGGACAATTTTTTTAATTTTTAAAAAAAATTTGAATTATTTATTTATTCTTTTGTTTCTTTTTTCTTTTTTTTTTCTTTACTGCAGTCGGTAAGGGCTAGTAAGGGGCCGGCAGTTGAGGGTCTGCAAGCCCTTGCCCAGGTGAGGCCATCCATCGCCTACGGTCGGTGAGGGTATCCATCGCCTACAGTTGGCAAGGGTGGCCCTCGCCTAGCCTGGGCCATTGCCTGATACTGGCCACCCGTGAAAAGGAAAGAAAAAAGAAGAAAAAAAGGAAAAAAAAAAAAGAAAAAATATTTAAAAAATTATCCACGTCTGCGCCAGCCACGCCATATAGGACGATTGGCACTAACTAGATCACCATGTCAGCATTTTTTGATCAAAATTGGCCAGAAGGACTATATTGGAAAATCGTCAAAAGGTTTCGAACTAAATTGATATAAGTACAATAAGTGTAAGACTTTTTTTGATAATTTTCCCGATTTTCAAAGTATGTTTACTAATTAATTTGGAGATTGTTATTAGCTATTGTACATGATCCACTTATTTAATTGACACTTGCAGTGTGCCATATCTGTTAGTATATGTACTTTGTAAACCAATCTTAATATACCTACTACAGCTCTCAAACGAGAGAAGTCATGTGGTGTCAAAACTCTGATAGATGTTCATGTACGTGCGGATTTTCAAAATACAGAAAAGAGAATGTCAATGCAGAACCCTCATATGGCTGGGGCCACTGGCATAAATTTATCAAATAAAAGAGATGAGAAAAATATTTGTGTACCTGCATTCTCCACGTAAATGTCTTTTTATAAAATATTAGATGAACACCATTTGAATACTAACCCAATAAATTTCTTTAGAAAGAATCTCCTTCGTGAGTGCAATAAGACAATGCTAAAGTACTTCAAATATCTTCTTCTTTTACTCTGTGACAGCTTATGGAAGCGATGGATGACAAATTATACAACAAGGTAGACATCGGATAGTGGATCAAAGGGGACTGGGTCCACACACCCATGACCCCATCTGCCGCTGCTACTGCTGCAGAGAGAGAGAGAGAGAGAGAGAGAGGGAGGGAGGCATTGGACCATCGTTTTAGCAGGAGTAAATAAGGAGACAAAAAAAATAAGGAAGCTGCTCGGTTGTCGTGATCTTCAGAAATTTTTAACCCAAAGCCAGAACGAGAGTGATTCAATGAATGGCTTGATGCAGAAGCTCATCAGCAACGTCACGTTCCCCTTTATAACCAGGAAATTTTTCAAATTACTCCTTCGCTGATACGACCCTTCCCCACTTCTCAGCTCTCTCACTGTTATCTTTTTTCATACTCCAGGAGCGATCACAATCAATTTTTAAATGTGGGTCTCAAAATATCTTTTCTGTAAGCTGCAAATTGCTCTCGAACAATCGAAATACTTCTTGTTTGATCTTTACTCGACATACGGGAATGATTTGTGTGTATCCGATTACTTGCTGTATAGTTCTTTTCTAATTGTTTTTTCTCTCTCTTGTTGCATGTGGGTGTGTGTACTGTGTGGTCGTGGTCTTTTTACGCCACCATCTGTGAGGATGACGACGTGCATTAATTATTCTTTTCTCGTGGATTTCAGCGTTTCATTCAAATCCCCTCCACGCCCGCGCACTAACGCAAGAAACCGTTGATCCAAATTAATATTTTTCTAACTCTTCCCCCCTGTGAGCTGTGACTGGCCTCCTCCTAAGACAGAGCAAGAGAGAGAGAGAGATTCAAATGGTTCTTGTTTCTAGAGAGAGAGTGAAAATCAATACTTTGACAGATCATCATCATTCAGGTTCAGCCCCATTTGCATTCTCCTTATATTTTCTCCAATCTACACTCATCTACTCTGCCTCTCTCTCTCTCTCTCTCTCACCCTCTCTCTCTCTTTTATTCATTTTATAAGAGAATCTGACCAACACAGCAAGCTTTGGTACTTTTGAATAAGAAACCAGTATTTTCTGCAGATTCTTGCTCTTTGTATTCCTACATTCATACATTCTCATGACACCAGACACCACTACATCGAAAGCTTTGATTCCTTCCTTTTCCCTCGTTCTCATTCTTGAGAGTGTCGTTGAAGTCTCTGTCATTCCTCGGATCCCGATAAATTTGAAAAACCATCAGAGAGCTTAAACCGCAGCATTTGCCATTTCGATCCAATCAAAGTTTCCACATTACAAAAACAGCCCTTCCATTTACGATCTGAGCTAAAGCAAAGCATTCTCTTTTACCAAAATCTTTGCATCCCACTTTTTCTCTGAGAGAGAGAGAGAGAGAGAGAGAGAGAGAGAGAGAGAGAGAGAGAGAGAGAGAGAGAGAGAGAGAGAGAGAGCATGTTGTCTGATCAAAGGAGAATTGAAAAGTTGCAAACTTTAGAATCCGAGGCATCTGGGTGTGTGTGGATTACAGAGTTTTGTAGTTCCTGAGAAGCGAGCTTTTGTCTCAGTCCCGTTTGAACTGAACAGTGACCGATAAAGTTTGTTGAAGGGAAAGGGTGCATTTTTTTAATGCAGGGTCATTGTTATGAGGGTCATGACACTGTGAGATTGAGTTTGGTCTCTATAAAGAGAGGAGCGTCAAAGAAAACATAGAATAAGGACTGAGTGGACAAAGGAATAGCGATGCAGGATATGAAGAAGAGGACTGACACTGAAGATTCGAAGAAGAAAGAGAGGCATATTGTGACTTGGTCTCAAGAGGTAAATTTTTCTTCTTATTTCCTTAGCTCATGCTTTGTTTTATTCTATTTTCTTCTTTCTTTTTTTGTTTTTTCTTATCTTGTCCCCTCTCTTGATTGGATTAAAGAAGTTTTGAGTGTGATTTGATTTGAGAGATGACGACTTTCTAAGGTGGGAAATTTCGTGGGCTGCAGGAGGATGATATACTCCGCGAGCAAATCGGTATTCATGGAACTGAGAAGTATGAGCTTCGCTTCATTTTTTTTTATGCTTGCTTGTATTGAGTATTTGCATCACTTGATGATTGGGATTTTGATCTTGGTGTAGCTGGTCGATTATAGCATCAAAGTTCAAGGATAAAACGACAAGACAATGCAGAAGAAGGTCGGGTTTGATGCAGAATGTTCTGTTCTTAATCTTATTCCTGCTCTAATTTTAATCCTTTGTATACACACGCTAAGATCTTATTCATGTTATTGCAGATGGTACACATATTTGAATTCTGACTTCAAGAAAGGGGGTTGGTCACCCGAGGAAGATATTCTATTGTGCGAGGTAGGAAACCAAATTTATTTGGATGTGAATGGTGTTTAGTGTTTGTAGTCTGTGAAAATACCGGTCTTCAATCCATACAACCAAGATCATTGGACAAGAATGAGTTGGTGACACAAGCAATGAGTGGTTTTCACATGATGACTCACTTGTGCTTGGTAATAGCATGGCCAGCAGAAAAGTTTCCTATTTTTCAGTAGAGGGATCAATAAATTAGAAAACCATTCTATTTCTCTTAGAAGTTCATAGAAAAATAACCGGAATTATGGAGTATGAAACCTCCCAGTTGATGCAGTTTCGCTTGTATGCAGGCTCAGAAGATTTTCGGCAACAGATGGACAGAGATAGCAAAGGTGGTTTCAGGCAGGTATACTATATGTTCTTCACTTCTTTGCACAAGAAGATGCATTCTCCCGCTCTGCATCAATTTGATTGCTCCTAATTATGCAGGACTGACAATGCCGTAAAAAATCGCTTCACAACCTTGTGTAAGAAAAGAGCGAAGTACGAAGCCTTAGCGAAAGAGAATAGCACTACATTCATCACCCCGAACAGCAAACGGATCATCTTGCACAATCCATCATGTGATGACGGAACAGCAGAATCTGCAGCACCGGCTAAGAGGATGAGGTATTGCTAGAGAGGACGCATGAAGATTTATACTGGACTCATACACTTTTATGTTTATTCTTTCTTCTTTTTTTAATTATGGAGAAACCTCTTCTATGGTGTAAAATGCTTCTGGGTTTTTCTCAGGAGGGCTCATATTCAGAATATAGCGGAAGATTGCAACTTGAAAGACAGATTGCATATACAGAGTGGAATCACATATAGTCAGCAACAAAGAGCTCCCTTTTCCATATTGGCGCAAAACTATCGCACTAACAACTCACCCCCCCAGCAATACGAAAGCAACCAAAAAGAAGCCACCGATGATGGTAACTATCGCCCATCAAATTTCTGACGTTTTAAGTATGTTGCATAAACGGACATAACAAGCGATTTTAGTACACGATCCCTTGAAAAGAGCATCATCTTTAATATAGTCACACGAGATAAAAAGACATGACATGCAAACTCAATACATGATTCTCAGAAAAGGCCATCGTCTTTAATTCAGTCAAACGAGACTATTTTTACAAAAACTTTGGTCATAAGCTGTGCCACTAGTCGTCGAACTTGTCTGTTAAACCCACATATGCTAAGGCTACATTCCTCTCTGATCTTTGAGCAGCTCATGGAACAAAAGTCCAAGGAACATTTCTTAGAAAGGATGATCCAAAAGTTACTGCTCTGATTCAACAAGCTGAACTGCTCAGTTCCCTTGCGCTGAAAGTCAATGCAGATAACATGGAACAGAGTCTTGAAAATGCTTGGAAGGTGAGTACATCACGTTCGCTTTGGTATTTTTGGCAAGATCGCTGATGGCAGTAAGTTTAATGGCTTAAGCAAGCCCTGATAGATGAAGTTCATTGATGAAGTAGATCGAACTCTTCCCCAAAAGAACATCTTTTTCAATTGAATAACCCATCACCTGATCCTTTTAACGTTAAATCAGTTGCCATGGAAGTGATGCTGGTAAAAGCAGGATGGCTGCTCAATCATACTTGATTACTGAAATTACCCCATCTAATCAAGAAAAAATACTGTCCTCTTTCTGCGTCTATTCACTGATTTTCAGGAGTTATGGAACTCAGGTTCTCCAGGAATTTTTGAGCCACAAGAAGGATGCTGAAATTCTCCACGATTGCATCACCGACACTGATCTCCAATTCGAAGATTTCAAAGTCATGGTGGAGGACCTCAGGAGCAGCAATGAGGGAAGCCAAACATCTTGGAGGTAATCAATGTAGATAAGAAATATTGAAAGTATAAGAACTGTAAAACACTCAAACTTTTGTATCTCTCTACTCCAAACACTGCCTAACAGTACTTATATTGTAGGCAACCCGATCTGTGTGAGGAGTCTCCAGCCAGCTCAGAGTATAGCACAGCTTCTACTATTTCGACTCATACTGTTTATGATAAAGCGGAAGAACCTCAAGCTGAAGAAGTTGCACTGCATAAAGCTATTGAAACTGAACTACGAAATAGCCACTCTGATGAACAAGGTGGAGTCGATAACTGCTGTAAAGGGATTCTTTCCAGCTCAGTTACTCATGGAGGTTGTTTACTCTGCAAAAACCTAGATCTTATCATGCGTATATTACTATTCTGTATTCGGTTTAGCTGACAAGAACATTCATCTTTCTGCATCAGGTACTTTCCAATCTTGCGACGAGCACATAACCACCGCTGGAGTTGTTTCTGTCTCATCAAATACAGAATGTAGCTCTCCTGTTCATGTAACCCCACTGTTCAGATCCTTAGCAGCAGGAATTCCCACGCCAAAATTTTCAGAAAGTGTAAGTTCCCTTTCAACTTATTTTTGCTGATTTAAGTCCATGACCAAATTTCAGCATTTTAGGATGTTCGCTGAATGCACTACTACTTTGAAAACCATGAAAGGAGGTGGACTGAAACTTTAACTGGCTGAAAAGGATCTCTCAGTTCTGGAATAATTCCATGAACTTCGATAGTTTCGAATTCGCAGTATCTCAGATCCATGCCCTCATTCATACATACTGATACTCATGTAAAACAAATATGTGTGGTAAATGAAATTTTATCCATATTCTTCTACCGCATCAGGTTCCAAAAGAGTGTAAGTCGAAAATGTGGTACTAAAGGCAAAGGGCTAGAACAGCCCCTCATGTCTTGACATATTAGAGAAGATAAGCAATGAACAGAGCTCGGAGGAATTATGTATCTCGTTATGAAAAGAGATTTTCTGACCTGATCACTTTGAAAGGGAATTATATTTCAATTGAGAGATAGAGGGGGATGGTTAGGGTCATCCATCCTGAGAATGGAACTCATGTCTGCTTAGAAACATTATAATCCACGCTAATGCTAGCAGAACCGAGATATCACAGTTCCTACACACGATTTTTAAGATCACATTGTTGAATATGCCTCTTTGTTCCATAGGGTACTGGACTTTGAGTTTCCTTGATTAGAATATCTACATGGTATACATTAGAGGAACAAATTTACTTAAATATTTCAGAAGTGAATGTGAAATGCAGAAACAAGCACTGTTGTATACACAATGAACTGGACTAGATTACCATCAGGACAAAACTGCTCTTCATTTCCACTTAACTTTAAATAGGTATGAAATAGTTGATGCCTCGTAATTTTTACGAAAAAGCAGGAGCACTGGTTTTTATCTTGTGCCTGGAGAAGGATATTCTCCGCCAATTGGACCAACCCTTGGTCTTGGTTGATGCCTGCTGTCTAAATGTCAATGAGCGTTCAAAGGGAGCTCAGTAAGGTCGAATAGATCCCGATTGTTCCTAGACCACGCTTCTAAGTGCGAATCCACAATTATGTAAACCGGAATAGAAACAGACAGGAAATTTTTCCCTAAATCCCAGAATAAGCTTTGGCATGTGGCAAGACTCACTCTCTCCCTCCTTTCCCCCCAAACACAAAGTACATGATAGAAAAGCTAAAATGAGGAAAAGAAAAGACGAAAACGTGTTTATTGCTTGTTACGTGTCATGCTTTCTACCGGTAAAGATTGCTCATTAGGCTTTAGAGTGGATATGGTCCTGTTGCATTCCAACATTAGTTTTCCATAATGAATTCATTTGCATAGCCCATAGCTAGGATCTCTAAAGTGGTATGAGACTAAATGCTTATTTGCGTTTCCTTTTTCAGGAGAGACACTTCCTTCTGAGAACGTTTGGCATGGATTCGCTTCCTACATCTTCTCCAACTAATTCGGCTTATCAGCCGCCCTGCAAAAGAGCTCTCCTCCAGAGTCTGTGACCGACCATGTTAATCCAACTTCAGTAACCAGAGTACCAAACACACCCCAGACACCTTTTTGTTTTGCTTGGCTGATCCCGCCTATAGTAAGTTTTCTAGTCCTGTTCAAGATCCAATTTTTTTCCCAATGCAGCCACTCAGGCCTAAAGTTTTACAAAAAAAGGCATCTTGAGTCTGCATTTGAAAGCCCCCCCTGATTGGGATCCAGAATGTTATGGCACATTCTGCAATCCTGACAGTTTGAGAGCTTGTCGGAAGTCACTACCCGTGACCAAGTGTGCTTTTAGAAGTGTGTCATTCCCTTTGTGATTTCTCGTTTTTCTCCGCCAGATGTTGTTTCAAGGTGAAACAACTCCTATTCAGTTTTTTCTGTTGATTTTTGGTTTGTACAGAACCTGCTACATAAATCCTTATAGCCAGAGTGTAATTATCAATCGGCAAATCGCCCACAGCCTACCTACAATAGATGATCATAACCGAAAAATAGAGAACCAAGAAAAAGAAAAAAGAAAAAAAAAAAGAAAGGAGGAGCCACCAGTCCATAGGGACTGCCGTTTGATTTTATTTTTTGGCCCCAACATTTGTGGTGTGCATATCATATAGGACAATCTTTTTGGTCTTTGTATTTGGTTTCTGATGTAATGATACTTACCGAGATTGGAGTGGAATTACGATACGGTCTTTGGTGTGCTAATCTTCTTTCTTCTCCTATTCAACACATGGAAATGCTATGCACGATCACGATTAGGCCAATGTCATCCTACAGAAGAAGGTAAGGATCAGCTAAATGGAGGAACTTGAAAAATGATCTAGTCCGCTTCTTTGAAGAAGGTCGGTAATGAAGGATACAAGGAAAATTGCCCAAGAACTGCAACAAACCACAAGCGTATTCATCTCAATCACATGAACAAGTCAGGCAATTGACTAACAAAGAATTAGCATACCCGAGAAGAGAGAAACTCCGTCTGACTGCTTCGCCTTTGGCATTTCCTGCATCTGCTCTCACCTCAGAGCAGACAGAATTCTGGGGAAGAAGGGCTTTTTAAGGATTCGGGTGCGTTGAATTTTGCTTAGAACTTTGAATTGTGATGGAGGGATCGGCATGGTGGTGTTCCAGCATAATCATGTCCCATTTAACTTGAAAAGATTTGTATAAACGTTAAAAAGGGCGAGGAGGGGACCTCAGTACAAAATGATGAAGCGCATTCATTGGTCATAATGAACTATAAAAAAGAAAAAGGGTGATATGGTTTGACCCTCTCCAGCAATCATGTGCTACATACCTGATTTGTTTTTCTGGAAACCAAAAGGTGAAATTCTTCGCCCGGACTCGATCTAATCTAAGTTCATTTGTTGGACCAATGCCACGCAATACGATTTGGGTTCGCTCGTCGTACTCTACTTCATCCTAGGAAGATTGTTTAAAAAGTCCTAAACCTGTTACATTTTTGCCAATTGAATCTTAAATCTTTCAATTTTGCTAATTGAGTCATAAACCTTATCACTTCTTATTTATTGAGTCCTAAAATTTTTTATTGCTTGCCAATTGAATCTATCCAATCAATTTTGGCCGGAAATCGCTGACGTGGACGTCGGCCGACTTACGTAATGCTGACGCGGATAATTTTTAATAATATTTTAATATTTTTTGATTTTTTAAAATTTCTTTTCTATTATTTTTCCTTTTTTTTTTTCTTTTTCCTCCCCTTCTTCCTTCTCCAGCCGGCCTTGGCAACTGGACAAAGGTGAGGACCGGCGAGGGCAAGGCCCTCTCCTCTTGCTCATTGTCGAGACCCGGCGACCGGCTGGAGGAGGAAGAAGGGGAGGGAAACAAAAGAAAGAAAATAAAAATTTGAAAAATCTCAATATATTAAAAATTGTCGTCGTAGATCGGCCGGTGGCCACGTCAGTAATTTCTGACCAAAATTAGCCGAATGGACTCAATTGGCAATAAATAAAAAATGTTTAGGACTGAATTGAAAATTGAGAAAAATGCAACAGATTTAGTACTTTTTTGACAATTTTCCCTCTTACGGAGATTAATGATAAGTTCTTTTTTCTACCTTCAAATAAATTAACCTTTTCTTTATACAATGAAGATGTTATATCTAGGGGTGTCAATGGGTCGGGTTGGATCGGGCTTTCATGATACCCTAGTCGACCTGAAATATATAGGGCCATGCTTGACCCGCCCCGTGACCCTGTTCAGCATACACCTCCAAGAGAGGGTCGGGCCGGGCCAGGTTTTACTTCAGCAGTAGAGAGAGAGCTGTCTTCATCTCTGGTTTCTCGTCACTCACTTCTTCATTTTAACCCTCTCATCGGCTTCCACCTCGAGCCTCCGATGGCGTCCTCTGTCTCCGGCATTTGCTCATCTTCCCCGTCCCTCAAGCCAAAGACATCTGCCGCGAAGTTTTATAAAAATAAAACAAACGAATCGAGCAAAATTTTCGATTGTCCAGAGCAAGAACATCAATTGGACTGCGTCGAGGAAGTGAAACGAACGAACTAGGATTCAAAAGCAATGTGAGGATTGACAAATGCCGAATTCAAACAATCGTCGTCACCTTCCACGAGTTCAGCTCTGAATCAGAACGAGAGAAAGGAAAGCGAATCTTTGTGGCGGCGGCGACGGGGAAGGTTACCTTGACCTCGCGAGCAAGATAGACACGCCCGAACTTGCCTTTACCGAGGGGCTTGCCGATCTCGAAGTCCCGCAGCTACCCTCCTCTCCTCGAACTTCCCTCCACCTTCATCTCCACCTTGGATTCGCGTTGCTACAAGCTGCTCGTCGACCCATCCATGTGTTGGGTTTCTCATGTGCTAAAAACGCAGCGGAATTTATAAACCGAAACCCTATACAGGATCCATGCGTATATTGAAATCTAAACAGAAGTTCGACACGTACCTTTTTGCAGATTGAAGGTAAATTGACAATCGATTGTGTATGGATTAGCACCCCAAGTGTTGCACCTCTACTGGTATCCACACACACGAACGGAAGTCTCCAACGATCCAAGTGCTAGCTAAAGATCTTGAACTTTTTTTTCCTGATCGCCTTTGATCGTCGAGACTCTCTCAAATATCTCTGAACAGAGAACGATTCTCTTCGTATTCTCTTGGAGGCGTTTTTTCTCACTTAGGGTTTTTCGTCACCCACACACACTATATATATAGCCTCATTATCTATGCGAATTAAAAGAAGTGGGGCCGGGCGATTTGGGCCCGCCAAGCTGTCCACCATCAATCGTACGTTTAATCGTTATCTCATAACGTGCACGACTGCGTAGATAAGTTGAATAGGAAAATAAATTAAAATCTACTTCTTATTTTAAGTAGATTCCGGCGCACAGAAAATATTAACTCAGTTCGCTATTGTGTGCGGCCCTGTAGGTTCACTAAACATTAGCAGTGTGCTTAAAACCCTTTTTGGCCCACAAGTCATAAGCGGTCTCTAGCAAGACATTATGACTACCTAAGTATAGTGAAGGTCGGTTTTCCGACACAATCTAATCAACAACTAATATTAGAGTATCAATCTTGATTGATTCCTAGGGCAAACCACTAACACCATGCTCATCGCCCTCCCACTTCAGGACCCGGTTGTCGACGACGCCGGTGTACAGGTCCCCGCCGCCCATGTCGAAGGCGAGGCTCTCGGGCTTGAAAGCTCCGGGGATCGGAACCACCTTGGAAGCGTGGAGGCGGTTGCGGGCTCTCAGGACGGGAGGCGAGTGGAGGAGATGATGGGACGGCAGATTCAGAGCTAGGACGGCGGCCGCAATTGCTAGCGCCGTCGCGGCTACCCCGAGTTTCGAAGCGATGGCATCTCTTTTCTCAGGCGACCAAGAACAGCTCCGTTGTTGGCTTAGATCTAGGGTTTCATCATGCAGAGAGAGGAGAGAGAAGGGGAGAGAGAGATTTGTGGGTGGTCCAAGGTGTCAATGGGTCGGGCCCGACCTTATCCCAATCTTAATAATACCCACATCTAAAAGCCCTATCAGAAGAAGACTAAGGCCCAATCCCAAAAAATCCCAAATTTAAGAGTCGAGCCAGGCCGGGCCGGCGCGGCGTTTCTGACGCCCCTAGTTGTATCTGTCTATTACAAGTGGGGATAACATGCAAATTCTATACTCCCGTAGGGTCCAGATTTAATCAGGTCACGTGCTTCACTAGTGATGACACAAGTTAACAATGCAATATTCACAAAATTACAAGAGCAGATCCACGGATTGACCCCACAATGTAATCTTTTGGTGATCGGCAATGGTGCTGTGGCTCAGTTAAGAAAATCTTCAAGGCGCATTGAGAAAAGCCTTCACATTATCCCATAATTTTGAACACGGCCTACTTATCAAAGTATTAATCCAACATCCAACCCAGCAACAGACAAAATCTGTACGCATTGTGATAGGGTAACGGATAGAGAATGTTCCGATAAGTGAACAAGTCCTAGTGAGCACCGACCAAAAAGGAAAGCCAATTCTGAAGACAAAACTCTCTCCTCCTTGTAAAAGTATCTACCGAATTACATTGATCAATATGCTACCTGTTGCCTAAATTTGAAACTACCGGACCTTCAGGTCACACAATTATACAAGCGAACAAGTAAGTTGTAAATAGGATGTCGCAGGAAGAGCTAATTATAAAGGCCAGGAGTTGTCGCAGAACCTTATTCACATGGCCTTCCTCTTCTTCTGCATCCTCTGCAATTTCCTCCATTTGAGGAAGATCTGGTATGACAATCCAGAGAAGACCATGACAACACAACCCCATTGTTTGATTGACAAGGGGTTGCCGCTTAATACTGAGGACACAACTATGCTCACGAACTTGCGTGTAGTGGTGATGGTGGTGTTAGCGAGGGAGCCAAATCGGCTAATGGTTAGGAAAATAAAATTCTGACCCACTGCACCACAGAGGCAATAGAGGAAGATGTCCCACGCTGCCTCAGGATGCAGCTTGCAGAACTGGACGGCCTCATATCCAATACCTTGTGGCCAGCCAAACATGTATATTAGGTTGTATATGGTTCCCCAAAGGTTCATTCCTAACATTATGTCCCAAGCAGTAGTCTTTGGGTACCTGCCGGAGAAAATTCAGGCACGTAAATGAGGGATGGGGAACAACTATTATCAACTGACAAGTAAAGGCCTCTAAAATCATACAAAAGGAAGAAGATGAAGTTCAGAAAGAAAAGCAAAATACCTTGCCGTAATTGAATCCTGAGTCGCATTTGTAAATCCATCAAACATAAGATTGAGGAAACACAGAAGATATCCTAGAGGGGCATTGGGATGCGCCAACTTGCTGATAGTTTTCGTGCTGGTCTGTATAAATCAAATTACGTAGTTAGTGCAACATAAAAGAAACAGAATTCTCATATTCAATCTCTGACTTCCATATGATAATAACTTGACAATTCATGATCAACGGAAAAGGGTGGTCTCATATGTGTACCTTTAATAAAGCGAAGGTAGAAACTCCACCAGCCACAAGTAAAGAGCATATGTACTCAGGGAAAGTGTATCTTATACCATAAACTAGAGTACCCATCAGCATCACTGGATAGATGAAAAGTATAACAATGGGTCATAAACCAAAGATTGATACACAAAGAATACAGCATAAAGAGCAGCCATGGTACTAGATCCAAAAATTAATAAAAACTTCCAGAGAAAAAGACTCTAGTTTTTTTTCCCCACTAAGAAATGGACAAAAAGCAAAGACTTCAGGTATCTTATGTGAACTATTCATGACAGGTCTATGAAGAGGGCCACCATGAAAATAGATTTATCCAGATTCTCATTAAATAAATTAATTGCGATCTTAAACAACTTTTTCACTTTCCAACCCGTTTGATTCTTCACAGAACCCAATACCCTTCCCACAAATTTCATCACCATTGCCCTCTTAAAACTTTCTTGTAAAACCTTCATTTTAAATTCAGTCAGTGCTATCCCGAAAGAATCAAGCATAAATAAAGCTGAGACCATCTAAAACTAATTGTCATATCGCGTTGGCAAAGGTTAATCCTACCTGGAATCATCTTTGATGATTTTGCCAGGACCTGAAAACAAGAAACAAAAGAAGAACAATAGCAACATGATCAGGTCCTATGAGCAATTCGAACTATAACTAGAACAAAATTACAAAGAAAAATGAACCGCCATTTTGCTTGAGGACGAATAAAGAGGGAATGTAGGCCATGCCTGGGCAGGGTAACTGATGTACTTCAGTGCTTCAATTCCCATAGCAGGACCAATAGTGTTTGTAATTCCAGGGCTCCAAAAAGTCCACAACGGAGCCCCTCCAGAACCACTTCTAGACCAAATTTTTATCACTGTGAAAGGGCACAGAACAATTGAAACCTCAAATCTCCATCACATACCACTATGTATAAAACCCAGGCACATGTAGTAAGGATTTGGCATAGAAGAAGGGGATAGGGAAACTCACTTATATATGACCAGATTAAACAGACCACATTCTGGGCCAAGTTCAGAAAGGAAAGGTGCTCAAATCTCTTCCCATCTGGACCAAAACGTTTGGTGGACCTAAACCACGGAAACAGAAAGACAATCAGCAACAAGATTGCATGCTTAATCAAACAACGCTTCCCAAACCAAATGAAATTCCAATCTATTCAGCAAATGCAGGGATCAGAAGCTGCGACAAGAGCTCCTGTCAGTCAACCCTAACTATACAACAACAGAAGCTCACATATCGGCAGCGACAAAGATCGATCAACCAAACAAAAAGCACCATTTCGCGCCCGATCAAGTACGCATTTTCATCAATCAGAGATCGTAGATCACGCACGAGACACGCGAGCGACTTCCCAAAATATAACCGGTGAAGCAAGAGATCCCGTCACAGAATTGAAGTGCAGAATTGCCGTGGGAAAGGAAAAAGGGAAAGAGCGCTCACAGAGTCTCTTGCAGAACTCCCTGATAGATATAGGCGGACCAGATTCCAGCGACGCACAATGCCAGCACCAACACGCGGCGGAGGCCGGTGCCGTGAGCTTCCATGGATTGGCCCGAAAACGCCGCCGGAAGACACCAGATCCGGCGGGGCGCTCGGCCTTCCTCCGCCGTATGCCTGAAGAGTAGAGAGAGAGAGAGAGAGAGAGAGAGAGAGAGAGAGAGAGAGAGAGAGAGAGAAGGTGTGTGTAGATGAAGAATGCAGAAGAAAAATGGAAACTTCAACTGCAAATTTGAAGGTGCCTCCGAGGAGGAGGAGGAGGAGGAAGACGGTTTCTTTGGAAGGGCGAAGCGAGGGGAGGGAGGGAGGTTATAAGAAGGGGCGCGAAGTGACGCAGGACATCCACGTGGAGGATTTTGATTGGGGTGATGACTTGACGTAGAGTTTCTATTGGACGGAAGGACGCGGAGGGAACCGTGACGACGCACAGTGCGGGAACAAAATTAAAAATAAAATAAAAAAAGGTCTTCGGGGCCAAGTTTTGTGGAAGCGGAGCCACCTTGGAAGCCCAATTTGTAATAAATTCGGACGGTCCAATTTGTCCCGTGCCTTGTGACATCTTGATTAAATTACGTTCCATGTCTTCTTAGAGATATTAGAGAGATGTCGGGCCTTCGCATGTGTTTCAATGCCTCGCAAGTCCGTGATCTTACCGCTTTTTTTTATATTGATTTTTGGATATGTCTTGAGAAATGGCGGACCGTCTACATAATCCAAAACCGCTCATTCTTTTTGTAATTGATGTCGAAGCTCTTTAAAGGTTCGCATTACCTTACACGACAACAGCAACACTGAGGTGATGTATCGGCTAGACGTAACTTTTCTAGATTAGGTTGGCGCGAATGCTTGATGAATTTTTATAGATGGAAAAAAAGAGATTTGCTTTAGGATTATGAACATAACTTTTGATCCGGATGAACTACGAGATTCTCTTACCAAATTTGTAGTTGGTTCGAAGTTGTCTTGTGGATGGAAAAGTGAAACTCTTTTGAAGTCGTTTGCAACCTTAAACTAGTCGTTATTTTCCTTGATCTAAGAGTTTCTTCCATTTTTGGACGTATTTTCTGCCCGTTACTATTAATTGTCGACTCCCACATTCTTATTTTGTTTAAGGGTTATAGCTACCAAGCTCCTCATGTATTACGAGTATCCAATCGTCACGTTTAGCAAATGACAAACAGCTCTTCGCAAGTTTTAGAGAAATCAAGGCTCCGTTCATTTCGCGAAAAATGTTGCATTTCTGGAAAATATTTTTCAGGAAGTCATTTTCTTAGAAAATGACACAATTTTTTGGTGTTTCGGCTGAAATCTGAAAATAATTTCGGAAAAGATTTTCCGTTGTTTGATATGGAAAAGATTTTCCGTTGTTCGATATGGAAAAGATTTTCCTCCTTGCAATACTTTTAATAATTTTTAATTTTTCTTCTTTTTCTTTCTTTTTCTTCTCCGGCAAGTCGCTGGCCGCGGAGGTCGGCCTTAGGCGAGCTCGAGCCTCGCCATAGGCCGACGAGGCTCGAACTCACTAGATTTCGGCGAGGTCGAGCCTCGTCGGCCTCGAGCGAGCTTGGCCTCGCCGGAGCAGGCGAGGCAGAGCCACGCCACAGGTTGGCGAGGCTCGACCTCGCCGGAATTTGGCGAGCTCGAGCCTTGCTGGGCGAGGCAAAGCCACGCCACAGGTTGGCAAGGCTCGACCTCGCCGAAATCTGGCGAGCTTGAGCCTCGCTAGCTTGTGGCGAGGCTCGAGCTCGCCTGAGGCCATCGCCGGCGACTGGTCGAGGGAGAAGAAGAAGGAAAAAAAAAAAAGAAATATTGAAAATAAATGGTGAAAGAAGAAGAAGGAAAATGGTTTCCTCTTTTGAGAAGAGAAAGTCATTTTCCTCAAAAGTGAAGGTATTTTATCCATAGGAAGGAAAATGTTTTCCGTGGGAAGTTATTTTCTGTGAAACGAACATCGGAAAATCCGGAAAACGTTTTCCCGGAAGTTATTTTCCGTGAAACGAACAGAGCCTAAGTTGAGAAGAATTCCTTAGCATTTCACCAATGATCATATGAGAATTTTCATTTACGCGTGTATCGTTTCCAATACGTCGCGAGACATTCTAAAAGTACGTTTGGCATAAGAGGAAACTCCAGAGTAGCTTGAACTTCATTCCATTAATAGCTCATTAAGTCTTGTGATTTGGGATAATTGTCCAAAAGTGTTAAACTTATTGTATGGTAGCCAATTCAATCATAAATCTTTCAATTATGTCAATTTAGTTTTAAGCCTTTAACGATTTTCCATTTAGCCTGAAACTTTTTAATTGTGTCAATTTAATCCTAAACCTTTCAATTGTGCTCGACACTGACGTGAACAACTTTTGCATTTTAAAAAAAAAATTCCGAATTTTTAATTTTTTTTTCCCTTCACTTGTGGTCACCACATGTGAGGATTGGTGAGGGTGGCCCTCACTCAATTCGGCGAAGGCCCTCACCAGTGGCCGGTCATTGGCCATGGCTGAGTACCATATACAGGCAAAAGGAAAAAAAAATAAAGAAATAAAGGTAAGATTTAGAAAAATTTTAAAAATGCACAAATTATCCTCGTCAACACGAGATCTTAGGCCTAATTCCAAAAAAAATCCTCAACTTTACACTTTGTTCCAATTATATCCTGTACTTTTTTTTGTCTCAAGAAAAATCACAAACTTTTATCCGACTCCCAAATCTGCCCTCCCGTTATAAATCCGTTCAATTAAAGTTAGAAAAAAAAAAAAAGAGAACCGGCGGCTGCGGCGGTGGCCAAGCCTTCGCCGGTGGCCGCCGCCACAGCCGTTGGGAAAGAGCGGCGGCCCTCACCTGGGCCTTCCCGAAGGCCGGTGACCCTCGCCGGCCCCGGGCAAGTCGCCGGCGAAGGCGTGCAGCCTCCGATCTGGGGCGAGGGTCGCGCCCTCCCCGGGGACGGGGCCGCACGCCCTCGCCGAGCGACTCGCCGGGCCGGCGAGGGTTGGGCGTGCCCTCGCCTCGGGCCTTCCCGAAGGCGGCGACCCTCGCCGGCCCCGGGCGAGTCGCCGGCGAGGGCGTGCGCCCCGATTCCGGGGGAGGGCGCGACCCTCGTCCCAGATTGGGGGCTACACGCCCTCGCCCGGGCCGGTGAGGGCCACCGTTCCTTCCCGGCGGTGGCCACCGGCGAAGGCTTGGCCACCGCCGCAGCCGCCGGTTCTCTTTTTTTTTTTTTTTTTTTTTTTTTTTATGACGTTAATTGGACGGATTTATAACGGGAGGGCAGATTTGGGACTCGGATAAAAGTTTGTGGTTTTTCTTGAGACAAAAAAAAGTTCAGGATATAATTGGGACAAAGTGTAAAGTTGAGGGTTTTTTTTTGGAATTAGGCCCGAGATCTTAATATGGAGAGAAGAAAAAAGAAGAAAGAATAATAAAAAATATATAAAATCAACAAGAGAGGGAGGGGATGGTGAGACCGGCTCAAACCGTCCTCATGGTTGCAGTTCGAAGAAAACGATAGAGAGAGAAGCGAGAGCAAGAGAAGAAGACTTTTCAACATCCTCGTAGACCAGACAAACCGATTTTTCTACAATCGTCCTTTTCCTCTTGCTCCAAATTTGCATGTCCGTTCCATGTCTAACGTACGAGGAGCCACGAAAGCAAAATGCAAGAGAAGAAGCGTGGACCCAAAAAGAAAAAAACTGTACAAGACAAGCCAAAATCAGAGGTTCTATGTAAGATAAATTCTGGGGTAACATTGCAATTAAGCTCAACTTCATGCATAGTACACCACAACAACATCACGTAGTGATCAGACACGACCGGTTCTAGTTTCTAGTGCAGTTTTTCCATCGATACGATGAATTCTAGGCCACTTATGACTCGAGAGTGGATTATACGGAGAGACATCGACATCCCAACTGCCCAAAGGAGCACCTTCACAAATCCAGATCCACTCGTTTTTTTTATCCACCGTCTCATCAGTAATCATTCGAAAAGTCGATTATCAACAGACCTTCGCTCTAATTCCTCGAAAGATGGTTTTAATCGATGCAAAGTCCATGACATCGTCATTTCAGATAGTTTTTCTGAGAATGGAGATCTTTTAGAGTTAAAAAAGAAAAGAGGCAACGTTGTGGGTAAAATGTTTAACCCTTTTTGAGCTTTGGATGGTCATTACGATGCCTCTACTCACTACAATGCCAGACGTGCATTGGTCCTATCGGTTTGATCACCCTCGATTGTAAGACCACCGTAGAGCACTAAATACTGTCAAAGTGACACACATTTTCAGCAACGAGTGTTTGTCCATACAGATTACAAATTGTCGCCCAAAACCACATCTACTTATGGTTCGGATCGGGTCAGGTCGTGTAAAAATTATCATATCCACAAAAAAAAAAAAAGGCAACGTTTTCTGAATCTTAAGGAAAAAGCTTCGGTGTTGGGTCCTCAGGTTAGATGGTAAATTCATGGACATCAATAAAGTCGCTCTCAGTCTCTCTGGACTTTTATGTGTCTCGGGTCCTCTTCACTCCTTTCACACTTGCATGATGTCTCTGTCTTAGCTAAATTCATGCACCCTCCCACGTCCTCTATTACCATCATCGACAGCTTCAACTCTTGATGTCCTCGCGCAATTCATTTCTGTGGTCCTTCGATTTGCCGGTACATTGACAGCATGCATCGTTCGAGGCGTCTTTCCCGAGTCGTGGGGGGCAATGTACTGTTGCTATCCGAATGGGAGTGACGAACGGGAGACGGGTTTCGAATTCGAGTTGTCGTCGAAAGCTCGACGTGGAGACAATGGTGGAAGGAGTTTGACAAAGAAAGATTTGCGTCATTGGGGTTGGATCGGGTCGAAAATGATCTGATCCAAAAATAGGCAACGTTGTCAGGTAAAATTTGTAACACGTTTTAAGATTTGGACAATCATAACAACGCCTCCACTCATTGCAAGGCCTAGCGTGTACTGGTGATCACCGTCGATTGTAAGGCCACTGTAGAGCACAACATATTGTCGAAGTGATAGAGCATTTTCAATACCGAGCATTTGTCCATGTAGATTGCAAATTGCAACCTAAAACCGCTA